GGCTACGTCGGGCCGCTCTGTTGAGAGCCCTTGTAAGGGGGCCGGGAAGAGGCCGTCGGACGGGCCTCTTACCCCGATGTCCGTGCACAGGGAGGCGAAGTGAAGAGCGTCGCATTCCAAGTGGGCCGCGTACAGTTCTGTTTCGGCGGGGTCTTCGCAGCCCAGCCTCCCCGCCTCGATGGCGGGGTCCGTGGTCCGGCTTGAGTAGCGGAAGGCCAACTAACACTTGGACTGGGTCTGGGCCCACACCTCCAAGCCTCGCCTCGCAGTCGGATCCTGTGATGGACCATGAGAGCCAGGAAAGGTCGAGCCGCGCCAGTGCCGGGCCTCTGGCGCAGTACCGGCGGGAGGTACCTCGCCCCAGCTGGGCCCTCCGATTCGGAGCAGCCCTGAGAGGGCTCGGGGCGCTCACGACCAGGCGAGGTTCTGCACGGACCCCGGGGCGCCAGTGGGGGGCGGAGCCAGCAGAAGCTTATTAAGTACTCGAGACCCTGCTTCATCGTTTGGCTGCGCACCGCTCGCTTGGGAAGGTCTCTCCATGGGCCTACCCGAGGTTCGCGGTGCGCCGCGAGGGCTGCAAGGGTGCCCCCCCTCTTGGTGCCCCTCGGGTCGGCGGCCCTTGGGGCCAGGGAGGGAGCGTCCGCGTCGCGGCCCCCGCATCGTCGCGGATGGCATTGGAGCCTGCTGGCCCCTGGGCCGTAGCAGTAGCTGAGCGAGCCCGGCCTCGCTGGCGGGCGCCCCCCGCCAGAGCTCCAAAGGTGGCGTCGCCCGTGCCCAGGGTCGCCCGGTTGATCCTCTCGACTGCGCTGGCTTGAGCCTGGCGGTGGAGGCGAGTGAAGGCCGGGAGGAGGGGTGCTCGGTCGAGGCGGCGATCTGCCCTCGATCGCGCTGGGGCCCCCCCAGGCGCTGCACACGTCACTGTCGGGGGTGCTTCCACTGGTCTCACGAGCCTCAAGGAGCCACTCCCAATCGACTTCACCCCACGGCTGTTGCGGGCCATCAGTCTCGATTGGGTGGAGGGGGAGAGCGGGGGAGATGTCCTGGCCCTCGCTGGGCACGCGCGTCTCGTCAGCACCTGCCACAGGGGGGAATCGGGAGCGAGTCGGGGGGGGGGGGCAGGGTGGGGGAGGGGGGAGAGCGGACAGTGATTCCCCTAAGGCGATGCGCCCCTGATCCAGTGCGCTCCTGAGGCGCGCGCCCCCGTAGGACTCGAGGCCCCTCGGAGCATCCGCCGCTGGTGTGCGCATGCGCTGATCCTGAGTTGCGTCGTGAATGGGGGTGCAGCTAACCGCCGCAAGAGTCACTATTTGTTGGTGGTTGCCTCCGTCTACACCGCCGGCTTGCGCCTCGGGGGTGCAACTAGCTGCCACTGGGCTCACTCTTCCGTTGACATTGGGGGTGCAGCTAACCGCCGCAGGAGTCACTATGGGTTGGCGGTGGCATCCGTCTCCGTCGCCAGCTTGCACCTCAGGGGCGCCGCTAGCTGCCACTGGGCTGGCTCACTTTTCCGTTGACATTGGGGGCGCAGCTACCTGCTTGGCACGGGGACGGAAAGCGCACTTACTTTCAGAGCGCACGGGATCGCTGGCTCGTCCGCTCTTACACCTCTTATTGACTCCCTTCCCCTCGCTCTTCTCCTATCTCAGGCTCGGAGAGTCGCGGAGCTTTCTTCGAGCGCGTTTCTTGTGTTGGAGGGGGCGGTCGGGTCGCGTTGCGTCTTCCGCGTTTGGGCTGCCCGCTTTCCAGAACCCCCGGTTGTCCTTGCGTGGACCGCTCGTTGTCCACGCGTTGCCGCCCGCCCCTGCGCCCTGGCTGCAAGAACTTATTACGCCGCAGCCCTCTGTTGGGAGCTTTGGTCTTATCCTCTCGATTACGTCGCCGCTCGCTTTTGGGAGCCGCGGTGCTAAGAGCATTTGGGAATATTATGGGCCTCTTGGGGGGCTCTTGGGGAGCCTCTTGGGTGCCTCTGGGGGACCTTTGGGGGCTTCTCGGGGGCCTCTTGGGGCCTCCTGGGAGCTTCTGGGTGGCGGGGGTGAAGGGACTAGACTGCCTTTGGCCGTTTTGGGGCTCTCTTAGGGGCCCCTTGGGGCCTTCTTGAGGCCGTCCTGGGGCCGTCTTGGGCCGTCTTGGCGCCCATTGGGCCGTCTTGGCGCCCTCTTGGGCCGTTTTGGGGCCCTCCTGGGGGCCCCATTGGGCCTTCTTGGGGCGCTCTTAGGGGCCTTTTGGACAGTCTTGGGCGCCTCTTGGCCCGTCTTGGCGCCCTCTTGGGCTATTTTGGGGGCCTCTTGGGAACGTATTGGGCCGTTTTGGGGCGGTATTTGGGGCCTCTTGGACCGTCTTCAACGCCACGAAAAGCGAAAAGCCGCATATGCTAGAAATGTATGTTTTCCTTTAGAAAATCAATGATGATGGCCTCGTCCTCTTGGGACGCCTCGTGGGCGCCTCCTGAGGCGTCGTGGAGGCCTCTTGGGACGTCTTCGGGCCGCCTTGGGCGGTCTTGGGCTCTCTTGGAGCGCTCTTGGGCCGTCTTGGGCGCTTCTTGGGCCGTCTTGGGCCGTCTTGGGCGCCGCATTGGCCGCTTCTTGGGCTGTCTTAGGCGCCTAAGACGGCCCAAGAAGCGCCCAAGAAGCGTTCTTCGATGATGTCTCGAGCGAAACGCTGTTTTTAAGCCCCGAAGGCCGTCCTACTCGATAAAAAAACGAGGCGGGAGGGCAATGAGATCCGGGTCCGCGGATGCCAACCCCCTCGAACTCCCCCAAGTCCAATTTCTCCCGACTGACGGACCGCACGTTAACGCGCGCTTTCCGTCAACCGCCACAAGAGTCACTATTTGATGGTGGTCGTTTCCGCCTCCGTCGCCAGGTTGCACCTCGGGGGCGTGGCCCGCCCCTGTCTGAGAAGGTACCTGCGCCTGCTCTTTGGGGGGGTGGACGACGTGCTCTGCCGCTGCACGCCGTTGCGTCTCCTCCAGGTACTCCCTGGAGCTCATCTCTTCCACTGCCTCTCGGGGCCCCCTTGGGCCGTCCTCGTCAGCCTCGGGGGGTTGGACGGCCACCTCTGCCGACGGCAAGGAGTCTTGTGCGGCCCCGAGGCGGGGAGAGGAGGGAGGCGCGGAGGGGACAGGGATCGAGATGGGGTCTGGACTGGGGGTGGGGGGGTTAAGACGGGACGCACCCGGGCCGGAGCATCCGAGGGGCACCGCATCAAGGCTGGCTCAGGATCGCTAGGCACCTCTGCTAGGGGCGCCGCAGCCGCCACGCGTGTGGTCTCCTGATCTGTCCCGATGGGGAAGGGGGGCTGCTGTCTGCGGGGGGTCTGAACCTGATTGACGCCTGGGGGGTTTTCGACCGCGGCCAATGACTGGGTTCCCGCGCCCTGCACTGAGTGGTCCCCATGCCCCTCGATGCGAACAGATCGGTGGATCTCCCCGCTTTCCATGGCCCCGCCTGGGGGGGCTGTAGGCGACAGCTGAGGCCCGCGTTGCCTGTCTGAGCTGGCGGCGAGGCTGCGGCTATGGCCGTCGCGCCCAGGGGGGACGGAAGGGGGCCAGCCGCGGCCCGCGGCGCAGCGTACGGGCGCCCCCTTGAGCGGCGGGAGACTGCCCCGGAGGGAGCAGGCCCACCAGACGGCCTTGAGCCAGGCTGCGGAAAGGTGGGAATATTTTTTGATCTGCGGCCCAAAGGACGGTTCCAGAAGGCGGGTCAATCAGGCTGACTGGGGCACGGAGCCAGATAATTTGCGAATCCGGTCGTCACTGTCGACAGCCGAAAGGTGGGGATACGCGAAGCGTGAAAAAGTAAGTTCGACGGCAAACAGCGCTCCTGCAACAGCACCAACACGGCAGCCTGGGCCATACAGATCTTTCCCCAGTGCATACAGATATGTGCTGATCCCACTGAGCTCCGATGTTGGAAACCCATATGCTAACCAGCGTGGACCCCAAGTAGTGAGTCATTGCGCTGTGGATTCCTAAGCTGGGTGTGCACCACACGTGTTTCAATGTTTTTGGTGCGAACTATGTGGTGCAAGCTACATGGTGCAAACGATGTGGTGCAAGTTATGTGGTGCAAGTGTGGTGTAAGCTGTTCGGTGTAGGCTCTTCGATGTACGCTCTGCGGTGCAAGCTGTGTGGTATAAGCGACGCGGTGCAAGCTGTATGACGGAAGCTATGTGGTGCAAGCTATGTGGTGTAAGCTATGTGGTGAAAGCTACGTGATGCAAGCTACGTTGTGCCTCAGTATGTGGTGCAAGCTCAGTACGTCGGATGGCATGCGCCCACAAGGCGGCAACTTGGCGAAACCTCAGCACACCCATCCAACACACGAAGCGCCCACGAGGCGCCCACGGCGGCAACGGGCGGCAACGTGGCGAAACCTTAGCACACCTATCCATCACTCAAACCGCCCACGAGGCACCCACGGGCGGCAACGTGGAGACACTTTGGCACGCTTCCAATCACCCAAAAGCGAAGTAAAAAAACCATCAGTGCAAGCACTGGTTGTGTACTTGTCAGAAGCCGTCGGAGGTCCACGCGGAGTTCTTCGATCGGCGCTGGATCCCCCATAGCGGCGCCTCTGGCGACGCCCCAGGCGCGTTTCGCGCGCCACGAGAGGGGGGCCCAGGGTCGACCCAAGAAATTCGCGAAAGCCTTCGAACACGTATGATCATCCTGATTATGGTTCGTAAGCACAGGATCATCATCGCCTGAGCCCCCACCATGCTCTCCGTGTGCCTGCGGTCGGCCGCACGACGTACATACCGTTGCCTAGGCAGAGAAGTGTTTCTTCGCCGAACTGCTGCTCAGGCAAAGTGGATATTGGCTTATCGAGGTTGCAAGGGGGCCCACACATCACACCACTCGGTCATAAGGATACTCCCGCTGAGGGTAGAAACGAGGGGCGCAGGCGCCCCCAGCCTAAGCACAACCGTCTCTCCGCACAGACGGGAGACGCTCAGCACCCATCTCCATCCATCCCCCGTTTACCCTCCCTGTCGCGCTCCTTCGATGTCCAAATCGTGCTCGTGCGCTAATTCAAGGATCGACTGCCCGTTCTTCGCCTCCACCACCGTCTCGCTCCCGTCCTTGACGAAGGTCACGGAGAAGGTGCAAAATCTCCTGGGCGATGCCCACCCGCTCAAAATTGAACGCACGAGTCGTCACACATCCATTCTCCTCACGCGCCGCTGGAATGTCTCCAGATTCTGCCAAAAAACCCGCCCCTGAAACCGGACACCTTCCCCCCACGCAGACCGTCCCGAGCGTCCAGCCGCAGTGACGAACGGGGAGGGGACTACGCTGTGCCCCAAAAGCGCGAAAGACAAAGTGGAGCGCAGGGTGGGCGACGCTGGAGAAGATTGGAGAAACGTCGTTTCAGCTGCATGGAGCATCGCGCCTCTGGGCAGTGGGCACTGGGCACTCCCTCCCTCGGGTTCTTAAACCCGGGGGGGGGGGGGCCTGGCCCTCCCTGCGCAGTACCCCCCGCTCTGGCATACTTTTCAGAAAGCGCAAACGAAATGCCTGGACGAATCCCACAGCTGCGCTTGAGAGCGTGATCCAATGCCTGTCAATAAAAAGCCCATGGCTAACGGCATCAAAACACACGGGTTGGAGCAGCAGCGAATCCACTCCAGACGCCTTCGGACGCGCATGGCCCATGGACCCCGACGTCGTAGTTTGTGTAGCAACGCGGACTCCCGAAGGTCTCGACCCCTTCTGCAGGACCCGCGTTTCATCCCGGATCGATTAACGGTCCTTAACATTCCGCTGCAATTTCTGAACGACGCGATTGGGATATGGACCCGTGGACGCCCCCTTCAGCCCGGCACCAAAAACAGATGATCACCCAGCGAAGCCAGAAGCCATCAGCATCGAATCCAAAAAATAGGATAAGATCGGACTGTTCGTCGAATCGAGCAGTATCGGCAACGAGTCGGAATCGAATCGACCCGGCTGCGCCAGAATTCACAACAAAGTCACGCAAAGATTGGGCCGCACTGGGTCGTGCAAACCTCGGAAGCGAATCGAATCGAGACCAGACGGCACCGCCTTAATCGCATCGGTCCGATCGGATCGAGATGGGCCCCGCGAAATGCACCCTTCGGCGCGCCAGGAGTGTGTACGGGACAACAATGCACGATGCCCGACAGCAAATGTTGTCCAAAACCAGCAGCGACCGCTGTTGGGAAGGCAAATTTCTGTCTCAAATGGACCACGTGACGCAGATGGCGTGCCCTGTTCAGTACGGACAAGAACTGCTGCCGACCTTCGTGCCCGTTCTGTCCGCAACACTTTCGATCACACCGAATCCCTGAACATCGCCGATCGCGGGAACAGGAAGAGAAGAGAAGAGGAGAGGAGAGGAGAGAAGAGAAGAGCAGAGAAGATAAAAGAAGAGAAGATGATAGGGAACGAAGAGGAAGAGGAAGAGGAAGAGAAGAGAAGACAATGAAAGAGAAGAGGAAGAGGAAGAGAAGAGAAGACAATGAAAGAGACGAGGAAGAGGAAGAGGAAGAGGAAGAGGAAGAGAAGAGAAGAGAATAGAAGAGAAGAGAGAAAATACTAAAAGAGAAGAGGAAGAGGAAGAGGAAGAGGAAGAGAAAGAGAAAGAGGGAAAAGGAAAGAGGAAGAGGAAGAGAAAGAGAAAGAGAAAGAGAAAGAGAAAGAGAAAGAGAAAGAGAAAGAGAAAGAGAAAGAGAAAGAGGAAGAGGAAGAGGAAGAGGAAGAGGAAGAGGAAGAGGAAGAGGAAGAGGAAGAGGAAGAGGTGAGAGGGAGAGAGGAGTGAGAGGAGAGGAGAGGAGAGGAGAGAAGAGGAGAGGAGAGGAGAGGAGAGGAGAGGAGAGGAGAGGAGAGGAGAAGAGAGGAGAGGAGAGGAGCGAAGCGAAGCGAAGCGAAGCGAAGCGAAGCGAAGCGAAGAGAAGAGAAGAGAAGAGAAGAGAAGAGAAGAGAAGAGAAGAGAAGAGAAGAGAAGAGAAGAGAAGAGAAGATAAGAGAAGAGAAGAGAAGAGAAGAGAAGAGAAGAGAAGAGAAGAGAAGAGAAGAGAAGAGAAGAGAAAGAGGAAGAGGAAGAGGAGAGAAGAGAAGAGAAGATAGAGCGAAAGAAAAAGAGAAAGAGCAAGAGAAAGAGAAACAGAAAGAAAAAGATAAAGAGAAAGAGAAAGAGAAAGAGGAAGAGGAAGAGGAAGAGGAAGAGGAAGAGAAAAAAAAGAGAAAGAGAAAGAGAAAGAGAAAGAGAAAGAGCAAGAGCAAGAGCAAGAGCGAGAGCAAGAGCAAGAGCAAGAGCAAGAGCAAGAGCAAGAGCAAGAGCAAGAGCAAGGGCAAGGGCAAGGGCAAGGGCAAGGGCAAGGGAAAAGGCAAGGGGAAGGGCAAGGGCAAGGGCAAGAGCAAGAGCAAGAGCAAGAGCAAGAGCAAGAGTCAGAGCAAGAGCAAGAGCAGGAGCAGGAGCAAGACCAAGACCAAGACCAAGACCAAGACCAAGACCAAGACCAAGACCAAGACCAAGACCAAGACCAAGATCAAGATCAAGACCAAGAGGAGGAGGAAGAGGAAGAGGAAGAGGAAGAGGAAGAGGAAGAGGAAGAGGGAGAGGAAGAGGAAGAGGAAGAGGAAGAGGAAGAGGAAGAGGAAGAGGAAGAGGACGAGGACGAGGACAAGGACGAGGACGAGGACGAGGACGAGGACGAGAAGAGAAGAGAAGAGAAGAGAAGAGCAGAGCAGAGCAGAGCAGAGCAGAGCAGAGGAGGGGAGGGGAGAGGAGGGGAGGGCAGGGGAGGGG